AACCGAAGTTACCACTGCTAGTTGAATTAATGTTAGTCATTGTTGGTCCTGGATTGGGATGAATGTCTCCACACATCAACAAATGCGAGGACAAAACAGTAGGATTGAAAGTAGTTTGGCAGTTTGAATAATAGTGAATTCTACGATTCAAATATTTACTTTGGATAAAAAAAGCAAAGCGTTTCCGATTGTTTATGATACAATGCTAATCCCTCATAGTCCCGTAAAAGTCCTTCGGTAACGGTTCTTTGCAAGAATCATCGATTATTGGACCCACTTCCACAGACACAGTCAACAGGTAAACAAGAAAAATGTTCAAAAGGACGAACGGAATCAGGAATTTATTCATTTGAATGATGATTATAGGCTGGGTTGCGTAATTAAAGAAGTAATCAATTAAACCAAGTTCTAATAGATTTTACAAATCAAACAACAAAAATCGCAGCCACCAAACAAATAATCGTCCAAAAGCAAGTCAAAATATTCGTAGTCAGCAGCTCTTTACGTTTTCCAGGTAGCTGTATCACTTATCCGCAATCTTGTGCAATTTCACCTCAAATATGTAGGCGGCGCGCGACCGCACGCGCATAACTATCACGCCAGAGTTTGTTTGATAACCAGAAAGTTAAAACAAGAAAAAAGAGATACCCAAAAAACTTTATTGAAACTCCATTACATAAGACAGTTGTTGCCAAGGAGAGCGACGCCAGACGGGATTTAAGTTTTAAGAATTCCAACGGTCAAAAATAATTAATTGAATAATTCATGAACAGTACATTTAAATAACACCAAAATTACACAAAATAACCACAAAACGATTCGTAGATCACACAGCAAGATTCGGCCGAAAAGGACAAACGACGACAAAGATATTGTTCATAGACCAAAATTTTCAGTTGTAGTGCTATATTAATACGATAGTAATACGATCCAGCAAACCAAACCAAACCAAAATAACTTAACACCACGATACAAATCCAATTCCAAAATACGATGAGAGGATGCACAAAATCCTTAGCTTTAATAAAATATAAAGCTTATTTTTATAGCCGAAAAATTAACTGAAATTTATTATATTTAAGCGGAGCTCGCTCAAACGTAAACCTAACCTATTGACCTGGACACATCATATAATAATGTATCTATAAGCTATAATAATGTATAATAATGATGTAATAATAATGTATCATATAATAATAATAAAAATAATGATAATAATAATAATGATAATAATAATAATAATAATTATAATAATAATAATAATGTATCCATATAATAATGTATCTATATTATAATGTATCTATAAGCTCTTTAGGTGTATTTGGTGAATCGACGAATACTTTATTTGATATGCTCCATGATCTGAAGTATGACGAACAATGTATTAAATATGTAAAAAAGAAAATAATTGCTACTTGTATTCGCACGTCTTATTATATATTCTGTAGACGAAACAAAGACTGGAACAACCCGGAAATTTTAAACTTTTAACTAAATTTTCACCTGTATATATATTTTAGCTTTATATTCAATTCAAGTGGACATCGATAAGCTACCTTTTATTAAGTGAGGTTTATCAATGTATATATAGTATATCGTAAATATCTAATAAAAAGTTTCCATTATTATTATTATTATTATTATTATTATTATTATTATTATTATTATTATTATTATTATTATTATTATTATTATTATTATTATTATTATTATTATTATTATTATTATGATGATGATGTCTAGCTCCTGAAACACTTCTGCACGTAGTAGCTGGTTGTCAATCGTATCTAGAACGATTCACGTGGAGACATGTCTCCGTTCTAAACTTTCTCGCAACAAGCCTGCAGACCGTAAGCGGCTCACATCTTTACGTGGATCTCCCAGGGTACAAAAGTCCATCAATCATCACTGGTGACACCTACCGTCCAGATTTGCTTCTTTCAACCTCAACCGGAAGACTTTATATTGTTGAACTTACAGTTGGCTTCGAATCAAATCTTCAAAACAACGTTGAGCGTAAAAAATCAAAATACTAGAAATACATGCATGCAATAACCCCTCGCCTGTTTTCAAAAGATATATACTCAGTGCCGTTGCGAGAACTTCGTCGCAAGGGGGGGGGTGTGGTTAGATAGAGGGGGGGTTACCAAAAAGTTTCCAGATGTACAAAAAATTTTCAGGACATATAATAATTTTTCCGAAATTTAATACAGTTGTTTTCCAAATTCACTTTCTCAGTCATGTCCTGAGAATTACCTGAATTCCCCTGAAAATCTTCTGCAAATCTACTTAAATGTAGGTACTAAAAGTGCACTGGAAATCTACCTGAAATTCATCATGAGCAATAATCAGGGGTGTTGCACCTCCCCCCCCCCCAGTGAGTTCCAAGCAAACACTCTCTGATTTATTGTTCGTGTATTTCGATCACCTCCCAAAATATTGTGCATCATACTATAGAGCATTTTGCTGTTGTCATGCTCTAGCATGGTTCAAATTTATGAATTTTTATTATATAAAGTATAGTGTTTTGCAGAGTTTTCGAGCACTGACAAAAATGATAATCTCAGATGTGAAATTATTCATGATAATCTCACATGTAAAAATTTATCGCCTTTTCAATTATCGCTTTTCTGTAAACATTATCGCTTTTCATTTAAGACTGTCCTTTATATAATAAACAGAAAAATACATGGGTGGTTGGAAATACCAGATTTATTTTTTGTGTTGAACATGACATCTCACTCGTTCGCTGCGCTCACTTGTTCGCTGCACACTCATGTTCAACACTCGAAATAAATCTGGTATTTCGTGCACCCATGTATTATTCTCTATTTAAACTACAGCTAGACTGGTTTAAATTATTATCAATTTATCAGTGATTGTAAAAGTTGGAGATAGCAGTGTTTTGTTTTATAAAATTATCAAGTTGATCGCAAAACCTCCAAATCCTTAATTTCAAATGTTAGAATGTTAGGGTTAGAATGTTAGGGTTTGTAATATATACATTTTAAGTGAGAATATATACATTTTAAGACCTAACTAGGAACGACTGCGAAAAATGGAGCACAAGGTTCTCTGGTAGGAATTGAACCTACGGCCCTGCGATTCCGGTGCAGCGCTCAAACCAACTGAGCTACAGAGACCAGCTGTTGAGCTTTAACCGTAAGTTCATGTATATTTAAGTAATCGGGTGTGCGGGTTATGATAAGGTGGACTTCAATAATTTGGATTCTTGCACTTCACTTGGTGGACTTAATATTAGAATGTTAGGGTTTGTAATCCAAGTGAGAATATATACATTTTAAGACCTAACCAGGAACGACTGCGAAAAATGCAGCACAAGGTCCTCTAGTAGGAATTGAACCTACTGCCCTGCGATTCCGGTGCAGCGCTCTAACCAACTGAGCTACAGAGGTCAGCTGTTGAACTTTAACCGTAAGTTCATGTATAAATTTTTTCTGTGCTGGTGTTGTGTACTCAGGTGAATAATATGTTTGTGATGTTACTCTGAGTGCATATCCACACCGAGCGAGCTTGAAAAATATGCCCGGCCACGGTGGGATTCGAACCTACGACCTTTGGAATACCAGCCCAATGCTCTTCCAACTGAGCTACGCGGTCAGGACGGTTCGAGTAAGTGATATTTCGGAACAGTATCTAGTTCCTTCAATACCAATGTGTTCTTGTAATATGAATTTTTTCTGTGCTGGTGTTGTGTACTCAGGTGAATAATATGTTTGTGATGTTACTCTGAGTGCATATCCACACCGGGCGAGCTTGAAAAATATGCCCGGCCACGGTGGGATTCGAACCTACGACCTTTGGAATACTAGCCCAATGCTCTTCCAACTGAGCTACGCGGTCAGGACGGTTCGAGTAAGTGATATTTCGGAACAGTATCTAGTTCCTTCAATACCAATGTGTTCTTGTAATATGAATTTTTTTCTGTGTTGGTGTTGTGTACTCAGGTGAATAATATGTTTGCGATGTTACTCTGAGTGCATATCCACACCGGGCGAGCTTGAAAAATATGCCCGGCCACGGTGGGATTCGAACCTACGACCTTTGGAATACTAGCCCAATGCTCTTCCAACTGAGCTACGCGGTCAGGACGGTTCGAGTAAGTGATATTTCGGAACAGTATCTAGTTCCTTCAATACGAATGTGTTCTTGTAATATGAATTTTTTCTGTGCTGGTGTTGTGTACTCAGGTGAATAATATGTTTGTGATGTTACTCTGAGTGCATATCCACACCGGGCGAGCTTGAAAAATATGCCCGGCCACGGTGGGATTCGAACCTACGACCTTTGGAATACTAGCCCAATGCCCTTCCAGCTGAGCTACGCGGTCAGGACGGTTCGAGTAAGTGATATTTCGGAACAGTATCTAGTTCCTTCAATACCAATGTGTTCTAGTAATATGAATTTTTCTGTGGTGGTGTTGTGTACTCAGGTGAATAATGTGTTTGCGATGTTACTCTGAGTGCCTATCCACACCGGGCGAGCTTGAAAAATATGCCCGGCCACGGTGGGATTCGAACCTACGACCTTTGGAATACTAGCCCAATGCTCTTCCAGCTGAGCTACGCGGTCAGGACGGTTCGAGTAAGTGATATTTCGGAACAGAATCTAGTTCCTTCAATACCAATGTATTCTAGTAATATGAATTTTTTTTTCTGTGTTGGTGTAGTGTACTCAGGTGAATATGATATTTGTGGTGTTACTCTGAGTGTATATCCACACCGGGCGAGCTTGAAAAATATGCCCGGCCACGGTGGGATTCGAACCTACGACCTTTGGAATACCAGCCCAATGCTCTTCCAACTGAGCTACGCGGTCAGGACGGTTCGAGTAAGCGATATTTCGGAACTGAGTCTAGTTCCTTCGATATCAGTGTAATCTAATATTTATGAAATCTGCTATGTTATTGGTGTAATGTACTCAGGTGAATAAGATGTTTGTGTGATGTTACTCTGAGTGTATATCCACACCGGGCAGGCTTGAAAAATATGCCTGGCCACGGCGGGATTCGAACCTACGACCTTTGGAATACCAGCCCAATGCTCTTCCAACTGAGCTACGCGGTCAGGACGGTTCGAGTAAGTGATATTTCGGAACAGTATCTAGTTCCTTCAATACCAATGTGTTCTTGTAATATGAATTTTTTCTGTGCTGGTGTTGTGTACTCAGGTGAATAATATGTTTGTGATGTTACTCTGAGTGCATATCCACACCAGGCGAGCTTGAAAAATATGCCCGGCCACGGTGGGATTCGAACCTACGACCTTTGGAATACTAGCCCAATGCTCTTCCAACTGAGCTGCGCGGTCAGGACGGTTCGAGTAAGTGATATTTCGGAACAGTATCTAGTTCCTTCAATACCAATGTGTTCTTGTAATATGAATTTTTTTTTCTGTGCTGGTGTTGTGTACTCAGGTGAATAATATGTTTGTGATGTTACTCTGAGTGCATATCCACACCGGGCGAGCTTGAAAATATGCCCGGCCACGGTGGGATTCGAACCTACGACCTTTGGAATACTAGCCCAATGCTCTTCCAACTGAGCTACGCGGTCAGGACGGTTCGAGTAAG